AACCACTCAGTTTGTGAAAGATTTGTTTGGGTTTGCATCCCAACTCTTTTGTCATTAAACTAGAAGTTTTTAGCAGTAAATTTATGCAAAACTGCTGCACTCAAAAAAACACTACAATGTGGACATCCACTTTGTCCTAAACCCCCTCCCCCCCCCTGTCCACTTTAGTCCACTTTTTGCTGAACCCCCCCCCTCCCCCCTTTTGTGTGGACGTCTTTTATGGATGACCCCTATCTAAAAATACAATCCCCTCTATCTCAAGAATGTGACAATCTATTAACCTTAACTTCACCCCCTACTCTAACAATGGCTTCCCTAAAATAACAGCATGTTCCGCCCATCCTATAAGTTACCTTAACAATGGAGCTTTGTTCTGTACCCCGCCCCAGTCATTTGTGACACCTTTCACGATTCAAACTCTACAGTTGTCCAAAAATGCCACACCAGCATATAAAGAAAAAGTGACACCTGGGTGGACCACTCCATCCGCCTTATTCCTACGCCACCAGCAGTGGCGTATCTACAGTTTTTTGTGTCAGGGGATAAGATTCATTTTTACGCCCCCCCCCCTGACCCTGAAACTGTCTATTTCAACCAATTAATTCCATCAAAGCCCATCCCCCCCGGGGGGAAAAATTCTGAAATAAACACTTTTAGCCAGCGGCTACATAATAGGTACTGTATGCATTATTCTTAATGCTATCCACAGATTTAGCATGCCATCCTGTAACTTATGAATTTAGTGGCTTCTATTGGAAGTTATACATATGACGAAATAATTCTTTGGCTATATCTAGTCCAGTCAACAGATCACATCCATTTATATAATTTTTTTCTTGATACCTTAACTTGTTCTCCAAACCTTGACATGCTGCTTTACTATGAGGTTCTTGGTCATCTGTATTTGCAAACTCGTCAGTGCACGCATACTCAAGCAGCCTCTTTCTCCTTCTGCTATTTTCTGAAAATGGGCTCTTTATCTAATTCTGTCGCTATTTTTGTTGTTGCTGACTCTAGTGCATTTCCAAATACATTTAGGCCTACACAATGATAAATTAGAAAATCAGTGATACTATTCATTAGTAAAACTGCAAAAGATAGTTCAACAGAAAAAAAACCCTTTAAAAAAACACGATATTCTATTTGTTATAGGCTACAAGTGTTTCTACTTCAAGTCGTACTGCAAGATCAGTCACAGACATTTCTGAAAGTTTATAAAGAGCTCTCGAATTCACGTAATTTCAAATTAAATGGCTTCGACACATTCAGCAAATCTCAACTAATTATAAGATTTTTATTGATGTTTAAATAGTGGATAAAATACTAAATCATTGCAAAAAATATTCTTAAATTGCTTACCGAGTGGAATATATTACACAAATCACGATTATAAATTTACTTTAAAATGTTATTTATAATATATTTATTAAACTAAACTTTGAAAATCAAGGATCACGCCAGGTTTTTCGGTTCTGCATAACTTAACATTCTATTCTAAACTCCTATTAGCGGCAAATTTGTAGTTGCCGCATCCTTAGCCTGTCTTTAAATTCAATTGCTGTCACCACCAAATGATCAAATGTGGCCTAAAAAGTGGTATACTGATACCCGGTAAGCAATACGTTGATAAATCTACCGCTGTCACCTCCACCTCAATGCACCTACAAAGGTAGCAGCTGCCTTTGTTAGCCGCGACTTTTGCCACCAATTCCATTGCACGAACATACCATTTATGTAGTATGGCAAACAAACATTTGGCAATAAAAATTAAATTTCTTCTGTAACGCTAACATGCAAAGCTTTTTTCGTATTATTCAAGATCGGGGATGGCGCCCCAAGCCCAGTTGCCGGTGCCTTGAGCCGGCCCTGATCATAACCCTGACTGGTTGTAGTCAAAGATTTATTTTTCATTGCATTATTTGCATTGTGGTTGCCCATAATCATAATCTCCTTTTGTTTTAATTTGTTTTATAGCTCTCTATCTTTTCTCTCTTTGAAAATCTAGCTCCCTGTGCTTGAGCACCCTTTCTTTTCTATCTAAAGCGTTTAGCTCGGTGTTTCCCAACGTGGGGCCCACACCCCACAGGGGACAATTTGATTTTTGGTGTGGGGGGGGGGGGGGGGTGGGAAAATGAGCTGTCTGGGATTTGATTACGGTCTCCTATGATTTAACTTTTATTTTGAAAAAAGAGCAACATTAAAGTCTCTATTTACTTGGGACAATTTGATTTTTGGTGTGGGGGGGGGGGAGGATTGGAAAATGAGCTGTCTAGGATTTGAATACCGTCTACTATGATTTAACTTTTATTTTGAAAAAAGAGCAACATTAAAGTCTCTATTTACTGTTTATACTGCAATTGTCAATCGTACTCTTGAGGCTGGTTACTCGTCGCTAAATCTGGGAAAAATCATACTATAGGAGAGAAGTTAATCAAACGAGCAATAGCACCATTTCTTAAAACGGTTGTGGATAAAGATGACAACGATTTGCAAACTAAGCCACTCAGTAACAATACTATTAGCAGAAGAATAGACGAAATGAGTGAAGACATTGAAATACAACTTGTTGAAAAGCTGAAAACAAGAAAATTCTCAGTGCAAATGGATGAATCATCTCTGAGAGACAGTGAGGCTGTATTGATAAATTACATAAGATATATTGATAAAGGGGTATTTTGCTGGAGAAATGTTGTTCTGTAAATCAATAGAAAGCACCACTACCACCAAAGAAATATATATATCTTCTTCTTCTATATATTAAGGGCCCACGATCAATTTATGGATCATTTTGGCTCCTATGCATGTAGATGGGATTCGCAATGTTTCTGTGCCTGGTGATGATGAGGGTATTTCACTGATTGCATGTGCTACATTGTGAGGGAATCATGCACTGGGGGTTGAAAGGCTTGAGGCAATAGACGCAAATGTGTCTAGTGTTGTCGCCACAACTGTTTCTTTTGAAAGCTTGTTCCAGTCCCCGATTGTCTTTGGCAGGAATAAGCAGTTCCTTTACTGGCTTCTTGCTGGTATGAGCCGGAAATGCCTGTCATGGCCTCGTTGCTGTAGATGGGGCAGAGGGACGAGTTTCTGTTTAATACTGGAACAGTGGACTAGCCCATTATTTATCTTATACAATATGGAGAGCCTGGATAGTCGTCGTCGTTCCTCCAATGTTGACCAGCCTAGTGTTTCCAGCATGCTGCCAACGCTAGAGGTATTCCTGTAGCGGTTCAGGACAAAGCGTGCAAAATACCCGCACTTCGCAGCGGAGAGCCTTTTTTAAAGAAAAAAGGTAAGAAATTATCAAGTATCCGCATATTCCGGAGACTATACAATGCATTCCCTTGCGAAAATCAATCCTGCCTCAAATCAATGCCACCTTTTTGTAGGGTCTGTCCTTGGGACCCCGATCCTGGTAAGACCCCAATTCTAATGACTCCCCATCCCATTCTGAACCCAATCTCTTTTCCCGGTGTGATCCTATTTTGTTGTGGCTCCGGATCCAGGGGGGAATCCAGATCCCTTTGTGATCCCGATCCCGTCGGTGTCTTGATCCCAGTGGGATCCCGATCTCAGTGGTTCCCGATGGCCCACCGATCCCGTTAGGATACCGTTCTCTGTGGGATCTCGTTCCACCTTGGGACTCTCTTTTCCGTTGTTTTCCCTTTTTCTGATAGGATACAGATCCCGGTTTGATCCCGTTACCCGATGGATTCTTGATGGTATCCTGTTCCCCGATGGGATCGCGTAACCGATGGGTCCCATTAGGATCTTGTTTCTCTAGGGTATCATGCTTAGTGCGATTTTGTTCGAATAAGCTTTTAGATCAAATTATATATCCTCGTAGACAATATAGAAAATTCTAGAACATTCTAGATTAAATTTAATATCCTCCATGAAACGTGTAAAAATGACTTTTCTACGTAATTATTTCTCGAAATCGAAATATTATACAATTAAATTGCACTACTATAACTATAGTACACTAGGGAGAACCAGCATGCATTGCAATCCACTCAAAGAAAAACGTTTTCGTGTTTTAATTACGTTTTTAAGGTAATTTTTAAATAGAAAATATGTTTTTTCTTTTTTACCCTCTTGTGCGTACACAAATAAATTAAAAGGTTTTTCGGCGCGTTTACAGGCCACTTACAGCTGTCCACGTGAGAAGCATGGATTTTCAAAATTTAGTCCACACACTTGATCCACCCATGTAGCAACTCTGTTTGAAATTATATTTATATGGCTCACAAAATTGTTTAAAAAAAATTAAGCTCTCGGCACCAAACACCAAATTGTAAAATGGTTGTACTAATTCAGAAACCTTATTATTATGTCACAAAAACTGAAATGTCACTTGCATTTTATTCAATTCCTTCCAGTCATGCAATTGCGCTGTGTGAAATTATAGTTGTATAGCTCCTATAAGAAAAAAAATAATAATTTGCGGGCTTGCGAACAACAATTTCCCAAAATCTTAGCACAATCGGATGAATGGTACAGGAAAGCATACTGAAATTTTAATTAGCCCAAGACCGTATAACAGAAAAAAAAATGAATTTAGGCCTTGGGACCAAAAACAGAATATTGTAAAATGGGTCCCCGGCCCCAAACAGTATACATTTTCGAAATGAAACCTGCTTAACTTTTTTAAAGTAAGCTGTAAGGAATAAGCCTGCCAAATTTCATGCTTCTATCTACAGGGGAAGTTGGAGAATTAGTGATGAGTGAGTGAGTGAGTGAGGGCTTGCCTTTTATTTTTATTAGTATAGACAATAAGCTAACACAGAAGTAAGTTGGCTCTCGAAAGGGAATTGCTTGAAAAGATTTATGAAACTATTTGATACACTTGCGATTTTTTAAAGTGACAAACCTGATACGAAGTATCTGTTAACGGTCGATGATAGAGCATTTGTGAGTTATTAAGACGATATCTTTGAAAAACTAAATACATAAAATAACCAACGTCAAGGAACAAATAAAACTCTTGTCGATGCAAAAGCAAAGATATTTGGTTTGAACACCTTCATTAATTGAATGATGTCAGAAAAATATTTACAACAAAAATTTGGAAAGTTTCATTGGTTCATAAAGCTTGAAGTGACTGATACCGCTATACTTGTTAGAAAGTGTCTATTGGTAGTTTACTACCAATAGCTTCTAGCTAGGGCAGGGAACTATTTGTAGTAAACTACCAATAGGTTCTAGAGAGCTATTGGTAGTCAAGCCAATCAAATCAAAACAAAATCAGAGCTTTAAAAACCCGCTATCAATGACGCTGGCGAATTATTGCCTCGTTCATTGATTACTAATAATAATTCATACTAGTGACAACACCTTGGCACTCATTATAATTATAAAGTCTACAGTACCGTTTTAACACTGCTGTAGCCTTCCTCATGCTCAGATTTGGCTATATTGCTATATAATTATAATTTATAATGTAGAACTAATTTAATAAAGATAGATGTATGATACTGGGGCGAGGGGATCATAGCCTGAAAAAATGTTACCCAGCTTCTTCTTTGCCAAGGCCAAAGTAATTATTATTATTATTATAAGTGGTGTTATAGCCTAGGGCTTGGCTCACCAAGCTGTACATACAATTTAACAAAAATAATCATGAACTTAAAAAATTAATTAACATACATTAGATCTAATTAAATTAAACAAAACAAGTGTATATTTAAAACGATTTACATGTATTGTAAAGCTATGTTGACACCCTGCAGCATCGTTTTTCGGTCAGAGGTGGGAATCAGTCAGGATAGTAGAGTTTAAAAAGATGTGTTTTGAGTGCAGCTTTGAAGGCTGCACAGTAAAAATAAAATCCAACATAGGCCTACATACTTTAGAGTGATTTCAAGGATGTAAATAAAAATAAAACGTAATACCAATATCATTAGACTTAGTCAATACTGCACTAATAAATCTATAACTATCACCAGTTGATTTTTTTTTTTATAGTAAACTATCAATAGCCACCTAGAAGCTACTGGTAGTGGAGTACCAATAGCTCTCTAGAAGCTATTGGCAGTTAACTACAAATAACTCCTTGGAAGCTATTGGTAGTTTACTACCAATAGCCACATCCACTTGTTATTGTCGATCATTTTAAAATTCTATCGGCCGATTTAAAAGTAAAAGAAAGATTTTCTGATTTGAAATAAATTTATATTCCAACTGATGATGCAGACAATGTTATTGGATTTGTCTGATATTTCAATTTTGCAGTATCAAGAAGAACTCGCAGAAATACAAAATGATGATTCAGTAAAAATTGTATTTAATATAAAAGGAGCGATGGCATGGCTTTGTGAGGAAAAAGAAATCAAATATCCAAAGTCGACCAAATGTGCAAGAAAAACATTTCCATCTTCATATTTAGCTGAATGTGAATTTAAAGTCACATGATTTATTTTCAAAAAAATGATTTGTTGCAAAAAAAAAAAGAAAAAAAAAGAAAAAAATCGGCTGGATATAACACAACGGGGTGACTTGAGACTGAAGCTAAGTAAATTGAAACCTAACATGAAATATCTTTGCAGCAAGAATCAAGCACAAACATCTAATTAAATTTAAATAATAAATGATTACTAATCATTTAAATAATATAGAAAAATCTTTCATTAAAATTATTTCGTTCTTGAATTTCAGTTCTCCATTAAATTTCACCGGAAAGCATTCTCTTCCTCATTTAGAACATATTTTAACGTAAACAACTTTTTCCCAATCAAGAGCGGGTTGGGTAGTGATAGAGCGCTACACATTTAATTGGTGACGTCAATATCAGAACCCATTACCCAATGTAGGGATGTAAGATGTCTAACAAATTTATTTTAATTTTTTTAGCAAATCACAAAAGTCATCTGAGGGTAATGCAATACCGTTGGATCCCACTGAAATAGAGCTATCTGGTGATCACATTACTTTTAGGATGACCAAAGAACAAATCGAAGAACGGCTTTCCGAATTGTTTGCCAACATCAATGAGAAAAGAAATCACGATTTGAAATTGTTAACACAACTGAAACAAGAAATCATGACACAGGTAAGGTAAAAATATGCATTCATTAAGCCTAAATTCTGTTGGCCCTTCATTTTTCTAATCAATTAGGACCAAAGATAGTTCGATAAATTCATTGGTTTTAAATTAAAATTTAAGTTAGCAGATTTTCCAACACTGCAATTAAAAACAGATTTTTTTTAAAAAAATGACAAGCATACATCAATTCCTATAAAATGTTTTGTTATGATAATCGCTAGCCTACACTTTAAAACTTTTGTAACCTAGGCAATATTGTTAAACGGTATTAATAAATAATAAAATATTGTCGTTTATGTAATTCATTGTTTTTATATTGTGTGCAGAACTTTTGAAAAAATTGTCAAGAATCTGGCAGTCACACAAAGATTATAAATAAATGCTGCCACTTTCTGTTTGTTCTACATTTCTGTGCCTTTTTTAGGTTGATGGGGAGAACATCTCTTTTTTAATTATAAATTTTTATAACTCGAACTGAAAATTTAAAATCTCTATTTTAGGCTGAAAGGTCGTGTGAGCGCCTAGAAAGGCATATGTGCCACATGCATGAAGCCAAGGGCAAAGAATTAGATGATGCAGTGAACAAGCTTTTGGGCGTCTTAGATCGTATAAGAGCTTTAGAGACTGAACTTGATAGCTCAAAATCTTCTTTGAACATCCTCTGTCAAGACATACATATCCCTATGTAATCA